TGAATATTTGTTTTCATTTCGCTAGTAAAAATTGCTGCTTCATACAAAATACAGGGTTATATGGAAGAGCAGTCTGTAATGTGGAAAAACAGAACGATATATTTTGTATTCAGTTTCAATTCCTGCAATCTCTAATTAAAGAAGAATTTTGGATAGCAGGAGTAGAAAAGCTTTCCATCAGAATATCTGGGGAGAGAGTATTCTGGACTAGATTGATTATTTAGGTTAAGCATGAGATAAATACTGTACTGATCTTTCAGAATCTCTGTTGTGTATTTCAATCTTCAAATAACTACTCCAAATTGGTCAGTAGAGGGCAGTGTTCCACTAACTACGTTTCTTTAAAGCTTGAGACTTTTAGATGAAAAACAAGTTTAACAAATGTCTCCTTTGTGGTATATATTCATGATACTGAAACTTTGTGTTGTAGTCATTGTTTTTGATGAAAATATATTTCTTCTGGAATTTCTCACCACCCAGACAATATCATACTATGACAGCTTATAAAGCAAACACACTCTGTAAGTAGGAAAGAATATGTAATATATATTAAATGTGATGTGATATACATTTTTCAGCATCAACACTTTATCAATTAGTTCAGTAATCAATATTTTCCACACTGATGGGAGACTTATTAATTTGAATGTTATTTTTGGAATAGCATGTTGTTGTTTTTCTTTTTATTCTAGCACTAATCTTAAGCAAGACAACTAATGCAATAAGGAAAGGAAGAATTACTTCAGTTTTAAAGCTAGTGATGGATAGATTTTTGTGCCCTGCTCCTACATCTATTTACTTGGTAAACTTAAGCTACATTGAATATGGCTTACTCACTAAAGAATGTTGTTTTTTATTTGCTGAAATAAAGAAGATTCATTACTCCTTTGTCCCATAAATGTTTATTGTGACCTTTTCCCATCAAACAACATCTGTAGACCAAACCTTGTACTGTATATATTTACTCAGATGCAAGTCTTATGGTAGAGCTCACTTTTATATAGGCATACTTAAAACAATAGCCTAAGGCCACAAAAATGGCCTTCTTGATAATGTGCACTAAGATCATCAGAACCCAAGCCATGCCAAGGTTTGAAGTCAGAATCTGAACTTTTTGTATAAATAATTAGTAAGTTAATGATATTGTCTCAAAACAAACGAGCCAAGTCCACATGAACCACATCAGAATTGCTAAGATTTGATTGTACACTAACTGCTGAATTGAAAGCTAGACAATATAGGAATCTAGAAGTTATAAATTCATGGTAGCCTGGTCTCTCTTTAATTTATTGATTATGTGCCGTGAAGTTTGTGTTGACTCTTAGTTGTTGTCCTGCTTCATTTCAGTTTCCTAAGCTATACAGTCCAACTACATTTTCCAGATTATTATTTCCAACTATGGCATTCCAGGTTCCAACCCTAAACAACACAACTTGTTTGCATGTTTGGTCAATTTCAACTGAATATGACATCAAACGTACCAACCCTCTCTTCTTCTGCATCAGTGGTTGCAGATAATTGTTATATTAAAGGGTTGTCTGTGAAGTCCAACTGATATTATTCAGTCACTGATTGTATTGTAGCCAAGTATTGTTCTTGCTATACCCTTCATAACTATGAAAGCAATGCCACTCCTTCTTTGTTTTTCAGGTCCTGAGGAGTAAACTGTGTGATCATCTGACTGAATGTGTTCAATTCCAGTCCATCTCAATTCACTGATAACTAAGATGTCAATAAGTAGTTGATTCACTTCATATGTCACTATGTGGAGGTTTCTCTTCATCCCATCCTTAATAAAAACCATTCTATGCCACACTCCAGCCCTGGGAATCCAACCTGAAGCTAAATTTGTTCAAATTCAAAAATTTCACACACTCATAATAAAAAACTGATCTTTACAGAGTTTATCACCCTGCCCTTTGCATTTGGAATACCTCCATCCATTGATGCAAACTCAGAAAATTGGGTTAAATTATTAAATTTAACAATTGGTACATGAATTGTGCAAGCACAATCAAAATGTATGGAACATTGAAGTATCCACTTTTTTTGGATACTGCCACTGTTGTTATATGATTGCATCAAGTGGCTAGTTTGTTCCATTATATAGAGATATTCAAAATGCTGATTATGTCATCTATCACATTGAAAAATATGTTTCCCCTAGAACTGAACTGATATTATGATTATAATAGATATAGAAGCAGAATTGGCATGCAGTCTACCACAAGATAGTGGTGGTGGTTCTACTGTCTGATCATCACAGTATGGCCTGTTGCTTTCGGTCGCATGGATATGTAAGCAAATAAATGCATTCGTCCAAGGGTTGTTTTAGAGATGCATCTGTTTGTTTTATTTAGGTAGATAAGTAGAAACAGTAAAGAATCTTGCAATACCTTAAAGATTAACAAATGTATTATTGTGGAGATTTCACAGAACACAGTTCAGTGCAACCATTTATTTGGTTGTGTTCATATGATATACTGAAATACAAACCAGCCAACCACATTTGAACCAAGTATTTGGGCAAAGCAGTCTGGGTGGGGTAATGGTTTAGTGTTTCATGTAAGCCCAGAAAGTTGGGTCAGTTGAATAAACTGTGTTGAAGTTAACCATAGCTATCTACATCATACAAACATAGCCTTTAATTGATTTTGTTACATCATCTCAGTTTTAGATTTTTTGTAAAGGAGGCACTGTAAGTTAAGAAACTTCTTTATAAATTAATAAGATTTTAAGAGAGAAGGAAAACTATTTTTAGATTGCAGAATTGCACAATAAAGAAAAGCTGAGTAGTCCATTCATCTGTAATTAGTAGACAAGGGTAAATTAAATATACCTGCATCTTTTACAGCACAGTGTTTGGGAAAGATTCCTCTTGAGGTATAGACAGCTCATCCTAGAGAAAGTACAGTTGTAAGTTGAATGTCAGCCTTTTGAATGACTCTGCCAGAAAAAGAAACAGCACTAACCCCCTCACCACCTGTTTGCTTTTGTGATGGAGAAACAGCAACAGAAAGCAAAAGATTGCATCCTGCTAGGTTACCAATAAGATAGCAGTTCAGCCACCCTCTCCACTTGTCACACTGCTTCTAAGAAAAGGCAGAGTAAAGAATGCTAAAATTTTTACAAGCTGAGCCTATGCCTATTTATTCAGAAGTTTCACAGAGTTGTGTAACTCTGTCCTGTTTTAGGACACAGCCAACGGCCTAAATTCCATTTTGAGACATTCATTTACTAACTAAATTCATTACATACACCCCAGCTCCAAAGACTGGGCAGTTAACACTACTAAGATTAAAAATACACATTACATAAATGCAACATAAAACCAAATCCAATAAAAATGGCAGCCTGGTCACCATAAAAATCTCAGTATAAAAATGGGACCATTAAGTACTCCAACTTGAGTTGTAGAAAATAAAAGCAGGATATACTTCAAAATAAATAAACAAAACAAACAAACACTCATTTAAACAAAGCCAGTACAGAGGGAGCCAGTTGTACCCCTGAGGGCAAGGTATGAAAGCCATCACAGAAAAGCACTGCCTTTGATCCCCTTAATTTCTGTAAGGGATGAGACTCTAAATACTCACCTGCTTGCATGATCAGGTCAGACAGATTCCATATGGTGGAGACACTCCATAAGGTATCTTGTAGGCAAGCTTCAAGTAGCTTGAGTTGGTCTTGGAAACCTATTGGTAACCTAATGCAACTGGAGGATCATTGTTACACAGGTAGTCCTCATTTAGTGACCACAATTGGACCAGCAAATTGGTCATTAAGCAAAGCAGTTGCTAAGTGAAACCACAACTGTGCTTAGATCTTACTTCAGCTTTCTTTTGCAGACCTGCAAAGGTGGTAAATGCAAGGATTGGTCAGAGTTACTTTTTCATCACTGTCAAAACTGCAAACAGTTGCTGTCCAAGGCAGTCACTAAATGAGGACTACCTGTAATATCAGGCTCTGTCTCCTGTATTCTAGGCATCATTATTTTATAAACAGCTATGCCCAGCTCTTTTATTCATAAGGACCCATAAGGTCTGAATAGTAAGAAGCAATAACAAAAGCCTTGCCACCCCACTGAGCAAGCTTAAATGGCCAATGCTTTGGGAGCTGCATTATACCCTTTGGAGTAGCCCCTTACAAACATTCAAGAGGGGAATAAGAGGGAAGCGAATCTAGTGCTTTTTAAGACCACTTAAAATTTAGGGGAGGGACATCCAAGGACGGACAGCTACCTAAATAAGGACAGGCCTGCTTCGGAGGAAACCCCGTTGCGCTCAGTGAGGCTTACTCCCCCTCCCCAAAGCAAAGAAATTGAGCCGATAGGGTCAGCTGAGGACACTCTATGCGCGTTCAGCCTCCGCGTTCCTTTCCGGAGTCGAAACGAGGCCGACGTCCGACGTCTCCCTTCTGAGACAAAACAAAAAAAAAAAGCAAACACTCCTTTTGTTTCCCCCCCCCCGTCCCGCCCCTTTTTACATTCCCTCCCCCCCCCCCCCCCGCTCGCCCTCCCTCCCTCCCCCCCCCCCCCCCCCCCGCCTCCCCCCCCCCCCACCACAGTTTTTTCCGCGCCGGGGGCCGCCCGAGCA